CTTTTATTTTTTTGACTTAGATTGAAATTGAAGATACATACACTACTCTTGGCCAACATCCTAGCCTAATGCCCTAAAACCTCTAGAAAGGGATTTGATTTACAATACCATATTACTAACTATATTCAATCCACTGTGCAATAGAACTTCAGAACTTATTGTTTCTAATTGTAATTTTTAATATCTCTGCAAAGCTAGAAGAAAGGAATTTGAATGCTCCCAACACACAAAAAAGACAAATGTTTGAGGTGATTAATATGCTAATTACCCTGATTTGATCATTACACAATGTATACATGTATCAACACATCGCACTGTACACTACAAAAATGTGAAATTATTGTCAATTAAAAATTTTTAAAAAGAGCTTTGACAAGTTTACGGAATACATATATATAACTATGAATAAAATTGTTATATGTATAATTAGATATATGTAAGAAAATATCACTCAATTAAAGAAAATAAGCTAAGGGAAATAGAACCTGGGAATTCCAGTGTTAATATCTACATTTTTCCAATGTTTTGTTTAACAACATCTCTGTTCATCATGAATGACAAGAGGATACTAATAAATATGCCAATCCTAGAAACATACACTGAACATCCTGTTACGTGGTTACTGCATATTCTCTCACAGCAGCAGAATAAAGATGAAAAGCAAACTCTGTAATTTAAAGGCTTCCTGATTAATCTGAAGCCAAGACAAATATATGGGATGGAAAGAAAAAAAGACACATATTCAAGAATGATGCTGATCATAAGACACTATGTTAAAAATTATTTTACTTGTCACCAGAGAAAAAAATAATCCCATTCTAAGAATGCATTATTCTAAGCTTTTTGATAAACATTTTAAAAACATGTTGTGTGTGCTTTGATGTGATCAATTAATTCATTTATTCCTTCTTTCAATGGACCAAATCTGTACTGAGCACTACACGAATATCCCCAGTAACCTCTAAGGGTATTATAGCTGCTTTATACCCATAGTCATAAGGCAGTCTGCCCCACTTTCTGGCCGCATCAGCAAAGCTCTAAGTTGACATCTGAAAATGTCATATGTGTGGGGGATATGTGTGTGTATGCCACCTGAAAATTTGATATGTGTCTGTGGGGGTGTGTGTGTGTGTGTGTGTGTGTGTGCGCGTGCCATAGAATACCACTAAGCCAAAAAATAAAATAAAATAAAATCATGTATTTTGCATCAACAAGAATGGTACCAGAAATCATTATCCTTAGTGAAATCACTCAGATACAGAAAGGAAATAATTGCATGTTCTCACTTACAAGTGGGAGCTAAACAGTGAGTATACAGGTACACACAGAGTGAAATAATAGACATTGAAGACAACAAAAGGTGGAAGAGGAAGGGTGGTGAAGTTTAAAATACTACCTACTGGGTATAATGTACACTACTCAGGTGATGGGTACACTAAAAGCCCAAACTTCACCTCTACACAATACACCTATAGCACACAACCATAGTTGTATCCCTTAATCTATGAAAATAAAAACTTAAAGTAAAAAATATTTTTTAAAAAGATAAAAATTGTGAAATTCAAAGTTTCAGGTCCTTAATATCTTTGATAGTCCTCTGATCCTAGGAGACTGTGAGACAACTGGGATAAATTTTAACTAAACCTATAGCCTGGCACCAAATGCAGCTAAGGTTAGCTTAAGTTAGTCAACCACAGCTTGGCCAAAGACATAAAAGAAATAAATGCTGATTTGCTGTATGCCACTGATATTTCTATGGTTATTGGTTATGCCACATTATTCTAGCAATAGTTGGTTAAGCAGCTAGGATCAAATCATGGAAATACTTAAATAGGAGAATACAGTAATGTGGCAGTTAATAATCTGTCTCTGCAACTAGACTGCCAGAGTTCAATATTCAGTTCTATTGTTAATAATCATGAGAATTTTGGCCAAATTAATTACCCCATGTCTCAGTTTCTTCAAACGTAAAGTAAGAAAAATTATGGGGTATTTTTGAGGCTTAAACAAGTTAATCATTTAATATTTGATAGCACAATATCTGGTACATACTAAGTACTCAACTAGAATTCACGATCATTTTTCAATACAAGAATGAAAAGTTCAGCTTTTACTCGGCAGGCCAATAGTTTTTTATTTTCATGAAACATATTTGTTCTGTCAGCTATGTTACTGCTTTCCTTTAGAATTACGTTGGTCTTTTCCCAGTATGCAGATGAACTTAAGTAACTTGACACAAATTTCTCATTCTAAGAATTTCTTTTCCCTCATATGTTTATCTCTTGTGCTTGGTAACTTGTTTGCAAGCCAACTGATAAGAAGTAAATGAACAAGTATATTAAAATTAAGAGAAAAATTCATAAAAAATCAACTTTACTTAGTTTGAAAGATATTTTAAATGGATATTTGAGCTCAAAATTGTACTTTTTATCACAGAAGCAAAACAGAGTATTTTCTCCTAGGAAAATTTTTCATCATTCCTATGACAGGTTTCAATATGTCATCATATAATGATGTTTTACAAATAATATGGTATTCTAAAAAGAGCAAAATAACTTCCAGGTATGTTATCTGCTTAAGACCACTTTTGTTGAGAATTCAGTATCTCTGAAAAATCTGTTCATTTCTTGTTGTTGTTGTTGTTTAGTTGGTTGGTTGCTATAGCAAGAGATATCTGCACTTAAAACGTTTACCTTGGCAGTAATACAGACAGTTTAAGTGAAGGCAGAAAGCGCTGGGCATCAAACAGTTTAGTATGTCGCCCTAAGAGCTCTAGAAGCCTATAGGAATGGATTAATGGGAAAAAAAGTTGGGGAAATGGACAGGATACGAAAATATCTGCAAGCAGGTAGTAAGGAAAAGGAAATAGATTCTTAAATTTCAGTGTACCTGAAAAATCACTCCAAGAGTTTGTTAAAAATGCATATATAGTCGATGTCCCCACTTCCAAAAATTCCGTCTAGAATTTCTGAAATAGTGATACGAAATATTAATTTTAACAAATTCCTTTTCTCATTTTGCTTTGGGTTGAAAGCTACATTTTGAGAAACATTAGAACATGCCTTTCCCTAACCATCTGGAAACATTAGTTTTACTCTAAGATTTCAGAATCATTTAGCACTTTGCATGTCCAAGTTACTGCCAAGGACTCCTGCAGATGGGAATTTGGGGTAATGATTGATACCTAGGCTTTATGCCTGCACATCTGGGAGAATAATGCCATTAATCACGATGAATAACACATGACAAAATCAGATTTTGGAAAGAAGGAAAGATAATGCACGTTTTCTTTTTTTCCTTTCCTTTTTTTTTTTTTTTTTTTTGACAAGTTGGATGTTGGACATTTTGGGGAGGTGGCATTAAATACTAACTTTATTCCATTTGGGGAGGGGGGCGGGGAGAAGCATTAAATACTAACTCTATTCCATTTGTAATGTGGAATGAAGTTCTGAGTAAGCAAGATGGGAAATCACCAGGGCTACTTTATTACTGATAAATGCCATTTGGAAGGTGACATTAGGTAGGGTGTACTACAAATGAGCTTCTTTACACTGAAACTCAACATTAAGATTCTTAATCCTTGCAATTCTGCCAGACAGAAGCAACCACTTCACCCTGCTCCCTGAAAGCAGCTAAAACCTGTCCACTCTACCTAAAAGAGCACTTTTCAAGATTTGTAGTATAGATGTTGTATGTTTCATTTTAAAAACACAATTCAGATTTCAAAATTAGTGTGATTATTATCACCACTTGAACCTAAGTTCTATGAAGCAAGGATCAGCCACATTTGTTCATTACTCAGTAATCAGAATGTAATCCCAGCACTTTGGAAGGCGGAGGCAGACAGATCACTAGAGGTCACGAGTTTCAGACCAGCCTGGCCAACATGGTAAAACCCAGTCTCCACTAAAATATAAAAATTAGTTGGGCGTGGTGGTGCATGCCTGTAATCCCAACTACTAAGGAGGCTGAGGCAGGAGAATCACTTGAACCCGGAAGGCAGAGGCTGCAGTGAGCCGAGATTGCGTCACTGCTCTCCAGCCTTGGTGACATAGCGAGATTCCATCTCTAAATAAATAAGAGTAGGAACTCTAAACAATTTGTTGAATAAAAACATTTTAATAAATTGGCAAATATTAATTTCTGATCTTGTTCAGATTTTTCGTTTTTTATCCACACAAATCGAAGTTCCACATTACCTAAGTCAAACAGACAAGGAAGACATTATTGAAGATTACTGGCAGTCGAGTAAGGGGATAGAACTCTTCTAAGCTCAACATTAAAAAAACAAAACAAAACAAAACAAAAAAAAACAAAAAACAAAAAACAGTAGTGGAGAGTTTTTAAGAACTATGTTGGGAAGATCATGGGCTACCTGAGTTTGCTGATTGACGTTACCAACAGGAAAAGTAAATTTTCTCCTCCACGAGAGGAGGTGATTTTACGATTTGAAGGGAGAAGCCCACAGCGGTTAGGCTCCTATCCTCCCACACAAAAGAGATGGCTCACTATCTTCCTTGCTGATTATATTTCAAAGGCACGGCTTCCATAACCTTGAGATAGTTTTCAACTACAAAACTGGCCACAACTTTTTAAAAACATTTACATCTGAAAAGGAGAGCGGGAAAAAAATTACAATGGTAAAGTTTACTAAAGTAAACCCTCTTTAGAAAGGGAGGTGAGGGACCCACACGCCTAAGGCTGGTAATCAAGCTGAGGAAACTAAGCCCCTACGGCTTACTGCTTAAATGTGTTATTGCAGTCTGACACCAATGAATTCAGATTATGAGCTCCCATTCTCCCAAGGTTCCTGCAGGAGAGAGTTGCTATACATGTTACACAATCTTTTTTTGTCTACTTACTTTGCTAATACGCATTCTCGACCGCTCCTCACTAACAGTGAAAAGAGCAAAGCTTCCAGAAGACAAACTCTTGCGCTTTCCACAAATGCGCGTGCGCACTCGGCGCTGGGCCTCTGACGTCACCGAGTGCACCCCTACAAGTTAGCAACCGAAGGCGTCCTTAGCAGCAGTGGCCGCTGAGATGTACGAACTTCCGGTTCTCCCGGTAGCTGCAGCTGCAAGAGCCTCTGCCACCTGCCACGACCGGGCCTCTCCCTGCCGTTTGGTCACCTCTTCTTCATTTTCCTCTGCGCCTATGGTCCCTCTTGGAGCCAGCGTGGCGGGCCCAGCGCCCCCCGGGTGGTGAGAGAGCAGTCTGGGAACGATGAAGGCCTCGCACTGCTGCTGCTGTCTCAGCCACCTCTTGGCTTCCGTCCTCCTCCTGCTGCTGCTGCCTGAGCTAAGCGCGCCCCTGGCAGTGCTGCTACAGGCAGCCGAAGCCGAGCCAGGTCCTGGGCCTCCTGACCCTAGACCACGGACATTGCCGCCGCTGCCACCGGGCCCTACCGCTGCCCAGCAGCCGGGCCGTGGTCTGGCTGAAGCTGCGGGGCCGCGGGGCTCCGAGGGCGGCAATGGCAGCAGCCCTGGGGCCGGGCTTGAGGCGGAGGATCACAGAGGGAAGGCCGGGGAAGGCTCGGTGGGTGGCGGCCTTGCTGTGAGCCCCAATCCTGGCGACAAGCCCATGACCCAGCGGGCCCTGACAGTGCTGATGGTGGTGAGCGGCGCGGTGCTGGTGTACTTCGTGGTCAGGACGGTCAGGTGAGGCAAAGCCTCGGTGGGGCTCCGTGGGCCTGAGCTGCTCAGGCCAGTGATGTCCTCCAGCAAGGCTGACTTCTGTCACCCTTTCCCTGTTCCCCAACATCAGGGGTTCCTGCCTAAGAATGTCACTTGACTGTCTTAAAGGCTTGTTACCTTTGGGGCAGTTTAAACCTACAACTAATTGCTGCCTTTTGTTTATAAATTAGCGCCCTACCTCCAAATCTCTTCATCTGACCTAGGACCCACGACCCACGTCAGCCTCAAAGGGCACCCTTTCTCTGAAGGAAAGATAATCTTTATTCCCTTGAATTTCGACAACTCTGTCTTGTAAAATACTTCTACTTTTCTACTCTACATTTTGCCAATGGTCAAAATTTTGCCAATCAGAATGCAAAGTCTTTAAAAACAGGCTATCTAGTAGGTTTGTGAGTCTTATAAATTCTTGTACAGTGCTGCCACTTAATAGGAAATTAATATGTATTTGAGTGGATTGATAGAAGTGTAGAGGTGCCTTATTATGGATATTTTATTTTTATAAAATTCGGGAGAAGAAAAGTTCTTCCTTACCATCAGTGTTTCCTAGTATTAGCCTTTAATCTGCCACTGTAGGTAATTCGCTTATACCTAATTACTTGAGAATCGCCTTCCTGAAGAGTTGACAAAAAGAGCCAAGACCTCGGCCGGGCGCGGTGGCTCAAGCCTGTAATCCCAGCACTTTGGGAGGCCGAGGCGGGTGGATCACGAGGTCGAGAGATCGAGACCATCCTGGTCAACATGGTGAAACCCCGTCTCTACTAAAAATACAAAAACTAGCTGGGCGTGGTGGCACATGCCTGTAATCCCAGCTACTCAGGAGGCTGAGGCAGGAGAATTGCCTGAGCCCAGGAGGCGGAGGTTGTGGTGAGCCGAGACCGCGCCATTGCACTCCAGCCTGGGTAACAAGAGCGAAACTCCGTCTCAAAAAAAAAAAAAAAAAGAGCCAAGACCTCACAATTAGGAGATGCCAGCAAAGAATCAAGGTGAAGGAAAGCTGTTTAGCAGTTTCCTTCATTGTAAAATAAATGTAGAGGGTAAGTTTGCAGATTGTGCTGTTTTTTTTGTTTTCCAAATTACTTCACATTTTTCCCATAATTACGTTCTGTATTATAATTTAAAGTATTTCTTTTAACTGATTATTTAAAGCAAAAGTTTCCCTTTAAACAAGTCATTATTATCATGAATGGAAAACCAACATCACTTGGCTGGTTACAAAATAGTGTAAGCCAGAGGTCCTTGACATGTGGGCCAGGGAACCACAGAGGTGGGAGTTTCACTTAGACCTCTTAGACCTCTTCAGGGTATCTACAATATTAAAATTGTTTTCAAAATAATACATGCTGTTAAAGGCCTTACAAATAGTTGATAGATATTGTTTCGGATTCCACATTGCAACTAACTTTTAAGAAACTGCTCGTCAAGTTTTGGTGTAGTAGTATGAAAAAGAAATAACCAGTAGTATATAAAAAGGCTATTAAAACGTTTCCTTCTATTAAAAGTTTATATCCGTGTGAAGATGGAATTACTTTGTATGTTTCAACCGAACAACACATTGCAAAGGATTTAATGGAGAAGTAAATATAAAAATCTGTTTTCCTATTTTTGTTTCTACTTTTTACCAACTTCTATCACCTTAAGCCAGATATTAAAGGGATTTGGAAATAAAAATCTAAATGTCATTCTTTTTACATTTTTTTCTCTTTTGAAAATATAGTTACTTTTCATGGGAGTTATGTTAACCTGTAATGTGTTTACTCATATTATTTTAAATCAGTTGATATGTATAGGTTTTCTCCAGTTTAATTAATATATTAAAAGTTGATATGTGTAATTCACATCATTGTAAGTTCTTTCAGAGTCCTGAGTAATTTTAAGAATGTAAAGAAATCCAAAACATTTGAGAACCACGGGTATAAGCAATATTATTCAAGCTAGATAATGTTGGTTTACAAGGCTAGCAAATCTGTGCTCACACTCTGTTAAAGAAGTTAGAAAATGTTCTGGAAGTGTTTAAAACATATTACCACCAAATTGAGATTTTCTTCTTGATATAAAAAAAGATTAAAAGAATATTACAACAAATTATTTTCTTCGCTATATAACTAATGTTTAATGCTGTCTGTATATAGTTCCTATAGAATGGATATTTAATGCTGTCTGTATATAGTTCCTATAAAAATGCATGGCCTCTTTAGTGTTGTATCTCTTCAACATATAAATTATGAGTATAATGATAATTTGGTGGAGAAATTCCTTGCTTGTTTTTCCTTTTGCTTCCCTTTTTAATAATTTTAAATACACATATTTATTGCCTGTTGATTTTCTGTCATTACTGTTGTAAAACTTGGACAGATACAGTCTTTCCAATCAGATTTTATTTGATGACTCAGAAACATGATATGTGTTAACAGCCAAATTCTGAACTGTGGCTAATAAAAACTACTTTCTTTAACCAGCATCTAACACATTCATGCAGTCCGAGTCCTACATTTAGATGACTGCCTGGCATCCAAGGCTTGATTGATGCCAACAGTGTCTGGGCATTGTTTAGAACTCATACTTTTTGCTTCCAGATTATCATTTTCTTCATTATTTTGGTGAATGCTCATTTTGGCTCCCATTTCAAAACTATGTGTGACAGTGCAGTGAAATTAGTTATTTGTGCCAAGGGAAAAGAATGGGCCAAAATCATTATTTTCTTAACTGATTTGAGGTGATGCGGAAAATATTTTACTTGTAAAATGTTATTACATTGAACTCTAGGAGACTTTCAAATTGTTTTGTTTTCAGCTTAATTCAGTTATAATGAATATGTGGGTAGCAGTAACTTCCTTTTGGAGTAAACATTCCAAAGAACAGTCAGATTCTCCCTGTAAAATATATACACGTACAAGGAACACAGTAGGGACAAAGTAGATTTCCTAAAATGAACACAACCTCTATGAGAAAAGATTTGTCTGTTTTAATCTCCCTTTTATCCTCAGTGCCAAACATCAGTGTGCAGCATATGGTGGGCACTGAATAAGTGAATGAGCACTCTTCCTCCATTATATTGCTGAACAGGTAGGTGGTAAGGATTTGGAAATTTAAGAATAATTGCTACTTACTGATTAGAACAAAGAAATGTGAAGATCTAAATTAATACTTATATTTCCTTCCTCTCAGTAGGACATTCTCCCCACAGTTTTGTATAAGGCTGGGGGTAAGGGGAAATCACTCTAGATGGTTGTTAGTTTGAGCATGTATGATAATTATATAAAAGCAATTTTTGTCATAATTGAATAATGATTCTTACCTTAAAAGCAGGGAATTATTTCCTTTTTCATGCCATGCCACTGATGATTTTTCACTATTTATTCAGTTTGGTATATTGGAAGGAAATCAAGGCTTAGAGTTTACCCCTCTACTTAAAAAAAAAAAAAAAAAAAAAAAAAAAAAAAAAAAAACACCTCTATGCTCTTTAGCAAGTGTCTTTCCAATTTCAAGAAAATATGATGCTCATGCTCATGTGATGGAGATGAGCATGAAATTTATCATGGTAGTCTTTATTTAAGCAGTGGATATTTATTCAGCTGACCAGTACTGGACACTGGGAATACAGTTTTGAGCAAAACAAGCATTTCGGCTTCCACAACCTATAATAGAGAAGCAGAGGGGTGTTAATCAAATAATCACTAAGATAAGTACATAAAGGGTGCTATGAAAAGGTATTAAAATGCAGATCCTACTAATACATAGTGTATAGGAAATATACATTATTAAGTTACTTTGAATGCTTAACCCACTCTATAAGCTAAGACACAACACTTAGGTTTTTTCAAAGAACCATACTTTGTAACTGAAAGATTATTTTTGAGGTTTTACTTACCATCCTAATAGCTGATAGTTATTAATTGATAATTTATAGTGTCAGATATAATGTCACATACTTTATGTGCATTTTCAAATTCTTGGAAAAACCTTCAAAGTAAGTAATATTATTCTTGCTAAGGAAATTTAGGCTGAGCAGGGTTAAATAATTTGCCCGAGGGTGTGCGTGTAGGACCTGCTGGAATTTACCTAACATGCTCACCCATCAGTGCCACTTCTTGTAATCTTTTAAAGTAACCAATTTAAAGTGGATATTGCACATAAAGATGGCTAGCTTATTTATGGAGAAAAATAACGTGTATAGTATGTGCCCAGTGCCTTTTGGTTTAAAACATATGATTTTGTTGGATGTTAAACCTCCAAATTTTACTTTTTTAAAAAAATCAGTTAACATTTATTGATTATCATGTTTGTACCAAGGTGAAATAATTTAGTTTCCTACCTCAACTCCTTATATTCCTTCCCTCATCCAAAGATTTTCCTGATTTGCTAGACATAGTCAGGGAATGGTAATATTTTAAAGAAACATCTGTTAATATGGTCACACATATTTCCACCTTAGTGAAGCAAGTCACTAATGATTTATGCATATGAGTTTAATAACCATTTCTCTTTTTCTGGTTACTTCAGCATATGCGTTAAGTTTTTTTTTCCTCCTACAAGTCCTATGTTCTAGCCCTATTTTCAAAATTATAAAACATCCCTGGAAATCACTTAAGTTAAGCAAAACCAGGAGTACTTTTGACTAACCATTTGTGTATTTAATGACTGTCACTAATTGAGTAAATATTATTTACCACCTATTATGTGCCAGTACTAAGCTCTGTGATGAGGATTAGTAGTGCACAAGGAAAATCCCTGCCTTCATGGAACTTCAATTATAATTGTTTATATATCCTTAGAAAGTGGAGTTTTCCTAACATGTAAATTGTCCTGGTTTGCTAATATTTATTTAGCCAAGCAGTTTATGTTAAATGTTTTGCATATAAAGAGACCCAGAAACTTGGAAATGTATTTAACAAGTACAAGTTCTCAAGTCATGGATATTTTTTTGCAGTGATGAAACTTCCTTTCACAAAATGTTTACTCATACA